GGGGGGGGGGGGGTACCTGAAGTTTTACTATATTGTGCAATTCTCCCCCCCCCCCCAAAAAAAAAAAAAAAAAAAAAAAAAAACACGTCCCTCACCAATTTACAGTGTTAACTAATATATGTCCCTTTCTTCTTCCCCCGGTCCCTCCCTTCCGAGCACTACTTTATACTTTCCTGTACTCTTCTGTACTGTACTGTACATCACTCACACATCAAAATAAAATCACTTCAGATAAGTTCATTTGCATTGATTATTAATCTCTCTACACACACCATTCTTTATTGGATTGTTCGACCACACTCGCTTGCTGTTCACGAATCATGTGATGTCTCACATTCTCTGTCTATATATAATATCTCAATCCCAATTACATTGCTCATCGATACACGTGGCTCTGAGTCCCCATGGGTCATTTAACATTTGGCCTGTCCCACCATCACATGATGCCTTGATTTTGTTTAAAAAAGGTTAAATTCCAACCCGTGGGAGGAGCCACGTCGCACGTGAACGATAAGAAAGTGGTCTGACTCAGTGTCACACACCCCAGGGGTAAGAAACACGTGGGGGTACATTTCGCAAGCACAAAAGTCAGCCAGGTATCAACGTGCCTCAATTGTATTAACAGACCTGTATATGTTGACCCCACTATTATACAATATGTATACTCTACAAATAAAAAGCCAACGCATGACTCAGCACAAAAAAAACGTGCTTTTTGTTTGATGGGTAACAAAGCACGGGGGGGGGGGGGGGGGGGGGGGGATTACTCAGAGATTGCGACATATGTTCAATTATTCATATCATATCTAAGTAGGAAAATTAAATATAAGTTCTTATGGTGGAGCAATACCTCTCCGTGACAATGAGATTAAGTGAATCACGGGGTCAAAATTTAGGCGTGTGTCCTCGTATCTAGGGGACGAACGAATTTGCGGGTCTAAGCGTGCCTTCTTTTCACTAACACAGTCACATATAGGCCTATGTCAATTTATTTGGTATATATAATAAATGTGTGGCATCCATCATATCAATACTTTTATCGTTTTAATCCTGGTCTTAACAATGTCATACATTCACCACATTTCCCATTTTAGCATTTGAAGGTGATAAACTGCACAAATAGAAACGAACGCATATTTTTTCCAGAGAAATTGAAGGATATTGATCCGAATTCTTTGTCAAAAGAGTTATTGCCATTAAGTATTGCTAGGATCGATGAAGCAGAATCGACAATGTGTTACTTTGCCGTCCATGTGAACTTTTAACAAATTAAAAAAATAAAATTTATCATGATACTAAGGGCTTTAAATTTGAACAGCTTTCTGATCATGTTTCCAGTTTTTTTTAGGTGTGAGTTTAGGAGTTTAGGTTTAACAGGGCCTACCCTGAGGTCATTTCTCAGTTACAAAGTCAAAATAAATCCTGTTGTCTGTATCCCGTATCAGACCCTATACACCAGATGACGTGCTCAACTGAATGTACACCTGGCTAATAGCAGGTCCCCTCTAATATCTGGGGCTTTGAAAATAGTATATAAAGTTAAAGTATGTGTTATAAAGTAATTTTGTACTCTGGCCCGCTTGTTGTCTGAATCCGTTGAAAAATTATCATATCTTTGAACTTCTACACTATTTTTGAGATCCCGATATTCGAGGGTGGCTACCAGGTCCCTTGATTCCCTCTACTACAGGGGACTAAACAAAGTGTTTTTAAATAATCTCCTTAAAAGGAGATCGATATTGTTGACAGTAAATACATTTTTACTAAAGACACATCATTTTATTTTACTTACCTGCAGCTCTGAGAAACTTGGAGTCCGTATGATATCCTCGTAGTTATCAGTCGGGACACTGGAAGCACTCATCTCTGTCGGCAAGCTCACCGAATGTTCCCGATGTTTCCCGAAGTCCCTGACTTCCATGTCACCCCCTATGTCCAACTTTTTGTTGGAACTCACAGGGACATTAAAACAGCTTGGTAAACTTAACGTGTCCTCGCTGTTAAACACCGGTAGACCAGCTGACAGGGGACTCGGCTCCACGTGTTCCGTGGGTGTTGGCGGAGGCGTCGGGGTATCATGATTTCTCCCCCGCCGCTTGGACCCTTGCGTGGCGACCGACTGAGAATTCCTTTCGATACGAGTTTCGCGATGTTCCATAAACTTGTGTATGGATTTGACTTGGCGTGATTTTTGAGTTTCAGAAGTTTACCTCTATAATAAGTAAAATTGTGAGTTAGCCTGTATATACTGGTATATATAGAAATGCACTGCGTAATTTATACAAATGTTATGCAAGGATTTCTGGGTATTTCTGTTTAACAAAAATACCCATACTGCGCAACAACATAATTTTTCTGCTGATATTGACAGAAATGGGCGACGAAGGCTGTCTTGAATCAATGTCGGACAGTGATGCAACATTAAAGTAATTTAAATGAATCACCCCATCAACCCATTTGAACAATTGCTCATAAGAAATCTTTTTTAATCCTATCACCACTACCATCATGTCAGACTTCGTATTTCACACCAGTAAATTTGTTACGAAGTTCACAACGTTACGATAAATCTTATTATATTCACGTAAAACGGTTAAATGTATATTAATTTAGAGTTAATAAAGTGCGCAGAATGTCTTAGAAACACGGTACTCACCTTGTTTGTCACGTTGCTATGTTTATGATCGCGATATCAGACTGCGCTATTTATACGTGTACAGCATTAGGGGAATCCCCTAAAATATGAGGTTACGCGCACACAAACCGGCACTATCTAGATCCTTCCAGAGAGAAAGTGGAACATAAACACAAAGACGAATTTAAAAATAGAACCAAATTTTTGACTCTCCTCTTTGGGTATTCATCTCATTCAATTTTGTAATTACTTACAAATTCCTCTATTTTTTTCTGAAAAAATTAATGAATTTCCGTTGTTGATTTTCGTCATGGAACCTTTTACTCTATGTTATTAGTTTCTTTCGTTAAGTACTAAAATTCCAAGTGTACATGTTGACTCAGGCTTTTTTATATATCATATATATTAAACTTATTAAAATGTTATATTTTTTTTATTTCATGTTATATTTTGAAGTAAAATGTGCTTTGTTTTTCATATTGAAACCGAAATTATTTTATTTTAGACTTAGAAATGACTGGTTTTCTGAAAGAATGCCACAGAAACGTGAATGGGCTTTTCTATTTTATCCTTTCATCTTTGTATCCCACCTAAAAGCATTTCTTTGAAATTAACAATTTAATAATTAACAATTTAAACCGAACAAAGAACTAAAATATTTCAAATGAAAAGCCAGATAAGAATAAGATCAACTAGAATAAAAAGAAAGCAATGGATATATCAATTAAGTAATTTAGTACCTTCAATATATAGAATAAAAACTAGTTCAATATAATCTTTGACTAGTTAATTTATCTTTGAAACACGCTAAGTTTCTTGCTAATTGGTCATTTGATAAAGTAATTAACAATATGTATTATTGAATTATCAAACTGAGCAATAAAATGAATAGCTATTGAATCAATAAAGGAATAAGTAAATGAATAGGTCAACAGATTAAGAATGAAATAAAATAGCAATTATTAATATTAAGAAATTTAAACAGAGATCCGGTCGGAAAATCGTGGCCTATTAATTTATGCAAAGAGGACCGTTTTCCGAGAAAGAGAGGTGACAGTTCGGTGAACACGTTTCATCTTGTATTAGCTTTTCCGAATCAGATTTATTACGGCTTAAGAAAATTATTATATATCATAAACACTGCAGTGGATTGAGAGATTATAAAATATTCCTGTATGTGGCAGTGATCTTGACTATCTGTTAAAAAAATATATGGCCTACAATCCAAATTATTGTCCAATTTTTATATCAAATACGCGGCAACCGCTTTGATGCCGTTACCCTACCGTAGTATGTGGTGTAGATTTATGAATATTTTTACGAATTTCATTTAATTGCACCATGAAGAACCTATGTGGATGTGAGTCATACTGTATGTTAAATTACAGTGGCACTTGACTGTCACAGAGCAGTGATGTGTCGCTGTCTTCAAACACAAACATACACATACATACTTAACACATACATACAAATATTGAAAAGGTGGATTTTGACTAAGACACATTTTTCTCTTCTATTCGACCTTTCAGGCACAGTCAATCAAAACATACAGAGTACACGTAAAACAAAATAGAAACAACTCCTGATTCTAAACAAGAGTTGCACCCATAAAACAATTTTCAAAAGACACAGAGATCAGTTTGAAGACGATGGGCAGCTGAGCACGGGAAGTTCGTGTCGATTGAAACCAGGTAAACCTGGTAATGCTATCTGAAAGCTTGGGGAATTCCCCTTTTCTTTTTGAAATAAAAACTAACCCATACGTGCACTACGTCATCAAAAAATTTCCGTTTCGCATCCAAAACACTTAATTTTTCTATTTTCGTTGTTTATTTTCGCTGACATATTTGTTTTAGATAGGTCCAATAATTTTCATGAACTTGGGTATTTTTTAAATAAAGGGTTTGAAAGATGAAATTAAAGTGTAATCATTTTTTTAGATTAAGAGCTGAAGCGATTGCCATGTAGGCCTATATTGATGTAAAAGTTATGGTGCACATGTAAATATTCTTTATTTAATATTTTACTAGTTACAGATATGTTATAATTGAGTCACGATTGCCAGATTTAGTTACTCTTGCCAGTTCTGCTCAAATGTTTTCTTTATTTTAGACTTTATTCATAAAAAATGTTCAATAATAATAATAATTATTATCTTTATTGGAATATTGCAACCCGAAGGTTGAAGTTATACATATAAATATACTTTATTTATTTATTTACCATTAAGTCAGAGAAGCCTGGTCATTTTTGGCCCTGTTGCACACTATACAGGTAGTCGCTCTCACCACCCTGGGGAGTCACAATTGACGTGTTATGTCAAATGAATAAACCAATACATTATTTTATGGCAAAATAACAAGGGCGGCTCGTATTCTGGGTCTGTTGAAGTCTTCTTAATAAAATGGAAATATTACGATTATCACGGTTATCATACTACTGGTTAACATTTGATGTGGTTATCATAACAATAATTATGAACCTCCGAAACAAAAGAGTGGTGTCCCCCACCCCCAACCCGTTCCTCAATTGCCTGGTTATATGTAGTTCATGAACCTAACGGTGAGCTTCCCAAACCCTCATATGTGTCAGCATTGTCCTTGACAATAAATAAATAAATAAATAAATAAATAAATAAAATCTAAAAAATAATAAAATAAGGTCTGGTCGTGTTCATGATAAGCACAGTCTTTACAAAAAACAGCCTCGAAAACGCCTGGTGGAATTTTCGAAAAATTATTCGTATGAACATCACCCCATCCTTATTACAGTTGAATAGTACTGACAAAAGCATACAGCTAAGGATTAAAACAATGAACAATATTTATATTTTTATAATGTGTATTACTAATATTATAGGAATGTTGACAATCACATCATTATCTGTGCCTGAAAATTGATGAAAACCAAAGGGAGAAGCACTTACTACATGTGTATCATTTGGTCACAACATAACGCATACCGTGTACCATCCCACAGAGAACTCCTTCCCTTTTTTTTTCACTTTTCACAATTACAGTAAATTTCGGAACATTTCTAAATGCTTGCCAAAGTTTTCAAACTAAGAAACATTACACGTAGAGCAAAACCGCTTTTTTGTTGAAGAACCCGTTGTCTGACATACTTTAAAATAGGATATTTGTCAAAATTAATGGCATAAATGGGACAGCAAAATTTCTTCGGTAGAAGTTAAGTATTTATGAACGTGGCTCGCAGCTTTATTTGTGAGTAATAAGTAACTTTTCCTCTCTCTCTCTCTCAAAAAAAAAAAAAAAAAAACAAACAAAAAAACAAACAAACAAACAAACAAAAAACTACACTATGTATAAACTAGATACCAATATTTAGTATACAGTTTTTATACTCTGTCATATATTGAATAAGAAGCTTTGTGGATTATGTTTCAAGGAATTTGAAAATGAAGCACATCTTATACTGAAAAGCGCCATACAAAAAGAAAAATTAATGTCACTGAGCTACACTAGTTTTAGTACCCTAGTTAAATAATATATCTCAAGCTCAGAGTCATTGTTAAATACACTTGAACACACACATATAAAAGCAGGGATAATAGCAGGATAATAATAATAATAATAATAGATTAATCACACATATGACTAACATAGTGTCTGAAAAAGCAGTTAGAGTGTAGGCCCACACCCAAATAACATTGTAAACATTGCCGAGAGTCGAAAAAAAAGAGAGAAGCAAAAAAGTAATGGAATTTTACAGATGTTCCTGAAGGACAATCACTTAAGTCAAGATGGTGATTTATTAAAAGAAGGTGCAACATCCATTTTAATGTCATGAAACCGTTTTCCCAGAAAATTTTGCATATGTACATGTATATCTAAGATCAGCGTTGCAAATTATTTTACGTACAATATTGGACGTTATTTACCTTATTATGTCCAAGGCACGATGTATATGAAACAAGAAGTAGAGGGTTATGAATATTATCTCTGATATACATTATTTATTTACGTTATTAACTTATTATCATGGGAATTCTTTAACCAAATACAATTGTTATTAAAACTTAGTTCTTATAGTGCTTAGTGCTTATATAGTGCAATTTTGTTCTTACAGTGTCATTAAGCACAACTTATACATTATGACATGATTCTTGGTGCATTAGACGAGTTTGAAAATGCCGTCTCCAAAGTGATGATATTTCATCACCGCTTCAAGCTTCCCGTTGCCACCATTTCCGTCTTCTTTACCATTTTGGATTCCAAATCCACTGGCTTTCACGTACAAGATCTTCAGGTTGTCAGAGACGTAACCCTCCAACTTCACCGGACGCATATCACCCAGGGCAAATGAGCAGATGTCTGGCAGATCTACGGCAGTAAGACGCTGGTATTCTTCCGCTGACATTCCATACACTTTGTACAGCTCCTCTACATAGTGCTGCTCAATGATCTCTGCAGGGAGAAAAAAACTAACTTCAGACAATATAGAACTGGTGGAGCTTTTCTAGTGATTTTTTAATCATGAGAAACACAGGGTATCATTATTTTAAGTCGACAAGTATGTTCTGGACCCAAATATACAAAACAAAACAAATGACGGGTCAAGTTTTATTCCCTTCGGCGACGGGAGAGAAACACCCTGAGTAACCGTTTTAATAATTTTGGCATGAAGAATCATGTGCACGTGAGTTTTGCTGATGCTTGACTCACCTGCCGTCTTAACCAGCTGTGCAGCTCTCAAGAAGCCAATCAATATTTTCACTGACGCTTCTGATGTCTTACTTCTCCACAAGGAAAGCATCTGGAAGCGTTGCTCCCAAGCGTTTCGTTGGTGGTTCATGTCAATGTCATCTATTTCTACGTCTCCAATACCAAGGTGATCTCTTGCCAACATGCGGCAATCGTCCAATTTGATGTGATCACATAACCTGAGGAAGGCTACTTTGAGGAGGTGGTCCTGATGAAGAGAAAGTAAAGAGTAGGAAAGATATTATAACAAACCTACACAATAACCTGGGTAATAAATACATTATGCGATCATTTAAATTATACTTAAGTCGCCGCATCTTTAATGGGAAAGCGTGAATAGTATTTTTTTATAAAACAGAAAATCTGGATTTGAGAGATATACTGTGTTATTCTTCACTGATACTTCATGTTACTGTGTAAATACTGTATAAAGGACATACCGAGACCTTCTAAAACGAAAAAAAAACAACAATAATAACAGAAAAGAATGAATACAGTCACAGAAGAATTAATATCTTGGGTACTTAAGGTTGCTGTAGAAATGTTTGATGAAAACTCTGGTATACCTGAACACCTGGGTTGTTAAATCTACACAGGTATTCTGCAATCGCTGTTAGGCCTTTCTTTTTTGCAAGCGTGTACGGGGTTTCTTCCCTCTATAAATAAGAAAAAAAAAAACAGTTGATCTTACCCTAGAGTGTCTATTCATCCATCCCTTATCTATCTATCTATCTATCTATCTATCTCAGATACTGTTTATCACGTTTATCAAGTTAATATAAGAATAACTAAGTAAAGGTCAGGGTAAAAAATTCTAAATCGACCAATCTTTTAAACATTATATAAAAAGGCAGGCCTATAACTGATTCCGTGTTGTTTACATTACAACTTTTGTCTTTTCCTGAAATTAAGTATTGCAGTGCATATCCAATAGTATATACATTTTAGCTAGTATTATTTATTTCGCTTTACTTTTGTTTACTTTCGGCAAATTGAGATGTCAGACAAAGAATATTAAAGAATAGAGAAATGATGTATTGCCAAGTTGTTTTATAAATGACAGCCGACACACACCCAAGCATATGTCTACTTACACACTTACCTCATCCCGTATATTGGGATCCGCCCCGTGCTGGAGGAGAAGTTGGACACATTGTGTGGCACCTCGCTCTGAGGCCCAGTGTAGTGGTGTGCGTCGACCTGTACCCTGTGGATTCGGAAATTATGATAATTTTGATGCAACATCTGTCTTTATTTTATAATAATTGGTTTATATTCTAATATAATTAAACAATCTACTGTATGTTAATAGGGTTTATGCATGATCCTTAGAACTTACTTATTGATTTTGGTCCGGAATATTTTGCGATATGAAATTGTAAGATTTGGCAGCAAAAAAAAAAAAAAAAAAAAGAAAAAGATGTCAATGAATATGATTTAAAGTTACATACAATTGATTCATAGTAATATTAAACAGCGTACACACCATCGGCCATATATGCCCTCCTATACTTTTGCTCTGTATATTGGGATCTGCCCCGTGCTGGAGGAGAAGCTGGACACACTGTGTGGCACCTTGCCCTGCAGCATAGTGTAGTGGTGTAAGTTCGAACTGTGGGTTTTAAATACGTGATAATTTAAATGCATAATTAGTTGTTTTCAATGAGTCATTTCATTTTCACACAGTGCACTGTTTGTAAATAGTGTTTATGATTGGTCATTAGGCTTTATAATATTAGTTACTCAAAGTCCGTAATTATCAATTGTAGGAAGGACGTTGAATAAATGTTGCTGTTCTGATGGGAAATTGTACGATTTGGCAGCAAATAAATGTCACAGTAAATATCTTTTACTTTGATATAATGTTTTAATAGTAAATTTTAAACAGACTACACACCCTAAGCACATTTCCCCTCGCATACTTACCCTATCCTGTATATTGGGATCCGCCTCGTGCTGGAGGAGAAGCTGGACACACTCTGTGGCACCTTGCTTTACAGCCAAGTGTAGTGGTGTCCATCCTTCCTGTGGGTTTTAAAAACGTGATAATTTGGGTGAATTATTAGTTATTTTTTATTAGTTTTATTTAATTTTCACACAGTCCTCTGTTTGTAAATAGTGTTTAGGACTGGTCATAAAGCCTTATAATAAAAGTTATTCTAAGTCCGTAATTATCTACTGTAGGAAGGACGTCTTTTGCTTTTGTCACGGGAAATTGTAAGATAGGGCAGCAAAATAAATGTTACAGTGAATGTGTTTTTCTAAGTTTGACGTTTTTATACAAAAGTTAAAACAGGGCACACACCCCAAGCATATTTGGACTCGCATACTTACCTCATCCTGTATATTGTGATCCGCCCCGTGCTGGAGGAGAAGTTGGACACACTGTGTGGCACCTTGCTCTACAGCCATGTGAGGTGGTGTACGTCCTGACTGTAGGTTTTGAAAATATGCAACTTTTTGGCTAAATAACCTTTTATTAATTCAATAACATTTATAAGTCCACTGTGTGTATAAATAGAGATTATTTTTATAAACGCATAAGTCTAGCTTTACCACAATTCTTCACTTGAAAATAATTCTTTAACTGGAACAAAAGTTATTCCAAGTCCGTAATTATCAATTGTAGGAAGGATGATGAATGTATGTTGCTATTGTGATGGGAAATTGTAAGATACGGCAGCAAAATAAATGTCACAGTGACATTTTTAAAAGTTTGATATAATGTTTTAATAGTAAAGTTTAAACAGACCACACACCTCAAGCACATTTCCACTCGCATACTTACCTTATCCTGTATATTTTGATCCGCCCCATGCTGGAGGAGAAGCTGGACACACTGTGTGTCACCATGCTTTGCAGCCAAGTGTAGTGGTGTACGTCCATCTTCATCCTGTGGATTCGCAAATTATGTTAACTTTGATGCAATATCTGTCTTTATTTTATGATAATTAGTCTTTATTTTTATTAATTTATTTAACAATCTACTGTATGTAAACTGGGGTTATGTATGATTATTAGACCTTACTAATTGATTTTAGTCCGGAATATTTTGCGATGTGTCAATGAATGCGATTTAAAGTAACATACAGTGTACTCAAAGTGTGGGATTTGGCAGAAAAATATATGTCATGGTGAATATTTTTAAAGTTTGATATAATATTTTAATAGTAAAGTTTATACAGACCACACACCCCAATAACATTCCACTAGCATACTTACCTTATCCTGCATATTAGGATTTGCCCCGTGCTGGAGGAGAAGCTGGACACATTGTATGGCACCATACTTTGCAGCCAAGTGTAGTGGTGTACGTCCCCACTGTGGGTTTTAAAAACGTGATAATTTGGGTGCATATTGGTTAATATTTTTAATTGGTCCTATTTCATTTTTACACAGTCCACTGTTTGTAAATAGTTTTTATGACTAGGCAAAAATCCTAATTATAAAAGTTATTCCAAGTCCGTAATTATCAATTGTAGGAAGGATGTTCAATGTATGTTGCTTTTGTGATGGGAAATTGCAAGATACGGCAGCAAAATAAATCTCAAAGTGACATTTTTAAATGTTTGATATTATGTTTTAATAGAGAAGTTTAAACAGACCACACACCTCAAGCACATTTCCACTCTCATACTTACATCATCCTGTATAATGGGATCTGCCCCGTGCTGGAGTAGTAGCTGGACACACTCTGTGGCACCTTGTTCTGCAGCGAAGTGTAGTGGTGTACGTCCATCCTCATCCTGTGGATTCGAAAATTATGTTAACTTTGATGTAAAATCTATCTTTATTTTATGATAATTAGTCTTTGTTATTATATAATTAAACAATCTACTGTATGTAAACTGGGTTTATGTATGATCATTAGACCTTAATAATATTGATTTTAGTCCGGAATTTTTTGCGATGTGTCAATGAATGCGATTTAAAGTAACATACAGTGTACTCCAATTGTGGGATTTGGCAGAAAAATAAATGTCATGATGAATATTTTTAAAGTTTGATATGATATTTTAATAGTAAAGTTTATACAGACCACACACCCCAATAACATTCCACTAGCATACTTACCTTATCCTGCATATTAGGATTTGCCCCGTGCTGGAGGAGAAGCTGGACACATTGTGTGGCACCTCGCTGTGCAGCCAAGTGTAGTGGTTTTTGTAATTCCTGTGGGTTTTAAAAACGTGATAATTTGGGTGCATTATTAGTTAATATTTTTAATTGGTCCTATTTCATTTTTACACAGTCCACTGTTTGTAAATAGTTTTTATGACTAGGCAAAAATCCTAATTATAAAAGTTATTCCAAGTCCGTAATTATCAATTGTAGAAAGGATGTTCAATGCATGTTGCTTTTGTGATGGGAAATTGCAAGATACGGCAGCAAAATAAATCTCAAAGTGACATTTTTAAATGTTTGATATTATGTTTTAATAGAGAAGTTTAAACAGACCACACACCTCAAGCACATTTCCACTCTCATACTTACATCATCCTGTATAATGGGATCTGCCCCATGCTGGAGTAGTAGCTGGACACACTCTGTGGCACCTTGTTCTGCAGCGAAGTGTAGTGGTGTACGTCCATCCTCATACTGTGGATTCGAAAATTATGTTAACTTTGATGTAAAATCTATCTTTATTTTATGATAATTAGTCTTTGTTATTATATAATTAAACAATCTACTGTATGTAAACTGGGTTTATGTATGATCATTAGACCTTAATAATATTGATTTTAGTCCGGAATATTTTGCGATGTGTCAATGAATGCGATTTAAAGTAACATACAGTGTACTCCAATTGTGGGATTTGGCAGAAAAATAAATGTCATGGTGAAAATTTAAAAGTTTGATATGATATTTTACTAGTAAAGTTTAAACAGACCACACACCCCAATCACATTCCACTAGCATACTTACCTTATCCTGTATATTAGGATTTGCCCCGTGCTGGAGGAGAAGCTGGACACACTGTGTGGCACCTTGCTTTGCAGCGAAGTGTATTGGTGTACTTCCCCACTGTGGGTTTTAAAAACGTGATAATTTGAGTGCATTGTTAGTTAATATTTTAATTGGTCCTATTTCATTTTTACACAGTCCACTGTTTGTAAATAGTGTTTATGACTAGTCATAAAGCCTTTTTATAAAAAATTATTCCAAGTCCGTAATTATCAATTGTAGGAAGGATGTTGAATGTATGTTGCTTTTGTCAAGGGAAATTGTGGGATTTGGCAGAAAAATAAATGTCATGGTGAATATTTTTAAAGTTTGATATGATATTTTAATAGTAAAGTTTAAACAGACCACACACCCCAATCACATTCCACTAGCATACTTACCTTATCCTGTATATTAGGATTTGCCCCGTGCTGGAGGAGAAGCTGGACACACTGTGTGGCACCTTGCTTTGCAGCGAAGTGTATTGGTGTACTTCCCCACTGTGGGTTTTAAAAACGTGATAATTTGAGTGCATTGTTAGTTAATATTTTAATAAGTCCTATTTCATTTTCTAACAGTCCACTGTTTGTAAATAGTGTTTATGACTAGTCATAAAGCCTTTTTATAAAAAATTATTCCAAGTCCGTAATTATCAATTGTAGGAAGGATGTTGAATGTATGTTGCTTTTGTCAAGGGAAATTGTGGGATTTGGCAGAAAAATAAATGTCATGGTGAATATTTTTAAAGTTTGATATAATATTTTAATAGTAAAGTTTAAACAGACCACACACCCCAATCACATTCCACTAGCATACTAACCTTATCCTGTATATTAGGATTTGCCCCGTGCTGGAGGAGAAGCTGGACACACTGTGCGGCACCTCGCTCTGCAGCCAAGTGTAGTGGTTTTTGTAATTCCTGTGGGTTTTAAAAACGTGATAATTTGGGTGCATTATTAGTTAATATTTTTAATTGGTCCTATTTCATTTTTACACAGTCCACTGTTTGTAAATAGTATTTATGACTAGTCAAAAATCCTAATTATAAAAGTTATTCCAAGTCCGTAATTATCAATTGTAGGAAGGATGTTGAATGCATGTTGCTTTTATGATGGGAAATTGTAAGATACGGCAGCAAAATAAATGTCACAGTTAATATTTTAAAAAGTTTGATATAATGATTCAATAGTAAAGTTTAAACAGACCACACACCCCAAGCACATTTCCACTCGCATACTTACCTTATCCTGTATATTGGGATTTGCCCCGTGCTGGAGGAGAAGCTGGACACACTCTGTGGCACCTTGCTTTGCAGCCAAGTGTAGTGGTGCAGGTCCATCTTCATCCTGTGGATTCGAAAATTATGTTAACTTTGATGCAAAATCGGTCTTTGTTTTATGATAATTAGTCTTTATTATTATATAATTAACAATCTACTGTATGTAAACTGGGTTTATGTATGATTATTAGACCTTAATTATTTATTTTAGTCCGGAATATTTTGTGATATAAAATTGTAAGATTTGGCAATAAATAATATGTCAATGAATGTAATTTAAAGTAACATACAATGTATTCATACTAATATTAAACAGCGTACACCCCATTGCCTTGTAAACAATCCTGTCCTTTTGCCCTGTATATTAGGATTCGCCCCGTGCTGGAGGAGAAGCTGGACACGCTGTGTTGCACCTTGCTCTACAGCCAAGTGTAGTAGTGAACGTCCTAACTGTGGGTTTGAAAATATGCAGCTTTTTCTTAGCAAAATTATCCTTAATAAATAAGTACACCATATTTATTAATAGAGAATTAAATTAATTTAATTCGTAAATTAAATTAAGTCATGATATTAAGCCCTACGTTTCTATAATTCTTGTCTTAAAATAGTTACTTTAGGTTTAATCAAGTTTTAGCTAGTGGACGTCAAAACATTTCACATTTTGATTAGACACTGAAAGATTAATTCATCACCAGATCAGTTGTGTTGACATTCAAGGTCCCATCACTCAATTGGTTCGTTAACCTCTGCAAGTCTCCGTCCTCAGCAGCTTGGAAGAGATCCTCTTCCGACATCTTGGCGGTTGACTTAATTCTCTGAAGAAAACATGAAAAGTATTTATAGTACATGAGAACTATTTTATCCTAAATTGATTTAGATATACCTATTACTATTAGAATTTATAGTCTTATTGATAAGTAACGTACTGCTGCATGCCATGTTTTTGGCGATTTTTTTTTTTTTTGTTAGCTAGTTAATTAGATAGTTATGGAAACCACTGTCCCTAAAATTACTATAGTTTTGAAGTAATAATTCTGTACACCCCTCATAAAGTGTATTGATTTCTTGAATAAGCACAGTGTGATTGGCTACCTCTTCATTTTCTGGCAATATGTTTCACCCCCTATCTATATTTTTACAATCATTATGTTACTTTATATTTTTTTATCTTTAAATTATGCTCGGTTGTTCAACAACTCAGTATTGTTATTCAGTGCATTGTTAATAGTGGGTTTATCAACATGTTGTTGATATTGGATTGAGATGAACTGGATCAATCTCATCCTGGCATTCTTCAGTGAGGAGTGCTGTAGCCAACGTTTGCTTTATTTAATCTGACAGCATTTTACATTGGCCGGGTGTAAGGGTACTAGTATTTTGCAATAGGGGAATCCCCTTTCCGCACAGTCTATGGACAGTCCAAAGAGAAAAGAAACAATTGTCCGAATAAACGTGTTCAATCTAACGACCTCTTCTCTAATGAGTTTAGAGGTTTAATATTTGGGGTGAATTTTCAAAATTTGCCGACCATCTCTGGAAATCGTTTCACATCTAAATATCATTACAGCGGATTCTCCACGCTTTTCAGCCGTTGTGCTTAACCAGAACATATTTCTCCACTCAATATTTGAACTTCCTCATAAATCTCAATATTGGAAGAAACAGATACGGCTTTTCGCATGGAAGGATCGTTTCGCACAGCTGAACTAGAGTGACTGAAATAAAATTTAATGTAAATATTATACGACAATGCTCCCCGATTTTCTGCGTACGCACTTATTTGCGAGATCACCTGTAATAAGTCTCTCATAATACAATTAAGCTGGCCCGATTGCACTGAAAGCAATTTAGCAAGAAGCACCCAGAGCTACATCGATCCAGCTAGTACGATCGATTTTTTGAGAACGCAGTCTTAGTTAAGATCAAAAATTAGTACAGTTCAAACTCTTGTTATTCGTTCTCTGCTCATCAAGAATAACATCCAAACACTTGTCTGACTTGAAAGGGTGTCAGTACTTTTCAGCTCTTGAACCTTATGATATGTTGTACAGTCAGTGTAAACATTGTACTTATATGTGCCTAATTATATTGGTATTGTGCTGATCATAGTAGTTCCTGGGGGAGATTTTAAGGGGAATCCCCCTCCCTCCTGCACAGATTTTGTGTAGTTCGAAAATAGCTAGAAAACAAGACAATTATCCTATGACCGAAACGACTTCTTTAGTCGGTACGTTTCTTGGATGGTAGAATCTAAGGAGGCACAGTAGTGATAGAAAGTATTAAATATGAGTAAAGAACGGCAGAGGGATAATGATGGACAAATAGCCCTAGATCTTAGACGTACAATGTAGATGCAAAGTGAAAGTACCTGCTGTACCGGTATCTTAGTCTTTTTTTGGTCGTTTAAATGTAACCTCACGTTAACGACGGTATTTGTGTGTTAAAAAGTCATGAATACTAAAATAAAAGAAATGTTTTACATCCAACCCATCAATCCTGGAGAATAATTAACCTAACTTACCGCAGATACAAATCGCGTCTGGCGCTCTTTGTTGTGGAAACCCCAGGTTATTTTAGTCCCTGTTATTCCCCTGCTTCGTTGATGACGTCACAACTAGCACATTCATGGAAGGGTGCGCTATCACACTCTTGTTTATGAAGTTAAACCGTTATGGCAGTTATCTGTGTCCGTCGAGTATGAATTCCTATTAATATGCAAACGCACTGTATAGTAAGCTATAGATAATGGAAATCCAAAAGTTAGTTAGATCACCTAGTCTGTGTAGTGGTGCATGTCATAAGGTAAATACGATCAGATACTATATACGACTTGCATTATTCGAAAGGTGCGATGTGCACATGACCGGAATTGTGCACTGCAGGGGTCAAAATAGTACCGGAAGCGTTATTGACAGCGATAGGAACACATGATGGAAGCATAAGACATGCCGGGGGCGATATTAAACAAGCCATTTGAGGGGACAAAGGTGCCGGAGTTGAAAAGTTGGTTAAAATGAAGGATGCCCACACATCAGGCAAAAAAGAAGAGCTGATAAAAAGGTATGTTACACGATATTTTCTTAAATACAAGACCAAATACAAAACCCTAATGTGGTCATTATGTAATTATGTTCACCTGAGTCATTTATTGGGGAGATAAATTTGTCACCTGGTTCAGGCAATTATCTGATACAATCTCTGAGGTGGGCTAGTGCACTGTACAGGTAATTAGTACAAGCTCACTGTCAATATCAGTGCATCTATCATTTGTTTCTTCTTCATTACATTTCTGTTGTGTATCCAGGTAGATTTCGGTTAAAAAATTATGACTAGGCATGTCAGTTTTCTGTTTTGTCATCAGTCTAATATGTATGTAAATTAATCACTGTTATAGATGTGTTGATGATGACTTTAATAATTATTTTAATGACTATTTTTTACTTGTTTTATAGGTGTAAACTGTACAGTGAGGATAGAG